TATATGTGCAAAAGTCCCAAAAAAGTTCATAATACTTAAATTATTTTAAATTTCAAACTTTAATAATATCATTGTTAACTTCATTCTTCCTAATATTTTAAATTTAAAATTTTAGATCCAATTATGCTCCCCTTTTCCTGACAAATTTTACATCCTAACCCCTTACCTATATCTAGTTGATTGACATCTTTCTCTCCCTCTTTTTTCTTCTTCTTCTTCTCTTCTTTATCTCTCAACAGTGAGCTCAAAATTAGTATATTAGTGGGAGAAAATTAAAACCCACTTTATATTTACATGAGATATCATGAAACTGAAAGGGGCAATTTCCCACCCTCAAGTATATGTATGTCCTCCAGTGCTTACTTGGCTCAAATAGTTGGAAAGCGTCAGTTCTTTCAAATAATAATGTTTGATAAGATGAAATGATTATATTTGGTATACCTTTACATTTGTATTTAGCTGGATCACAATGTTTATAACATAAAATTATATTAATAATATTTGCAATTATTTTTAAATTATTTAAAAAATTTCTTACAACTATTTATTAGAAAAAAAGTAAAATATTCCATTTTAATTTTCTTAACTCTGCAAAGATATTTTTAATATTGTGATTCAAAAACAGTTTATTTTAGTATTTTAAAGACCCCCAAGTGTAATATTCAATTTTATAATAAAATACTTTCTAATTTCTTTACCCAATTCAGGCTGGTTTGTGATATCAATAAGCTTGTCGTTCAAGAATTTCAGACGGTTTCATCAGGTTGAATTTTATTTTTCCTCTTCTTGAATCTAAAATGCCAATGTTTTGAGTTAAAACAGAAAAAGAAAAGCAACATATTACATTCGTATTTGCATTTTAGTAACTCTATTTGGTGGATTATATGTAGTTCACTCCCTGCCAACTACAACATGAGTCATTTTTTATAGGACATTAGGTAGGCATTGTATATATTTTTTTCAATTACACCCCTATTTTATTAACTAGAGTATTTTGAATAAGTTAAAATGTTTATATATTACATTAAAAGACACAACTGAAAATATGTAAAAAAATTTAAAAAATCAAGATGTCAACCAACTTTTTTTAAAAATGTAAATTATATTGTGATTTGAAAAAAAATATTATTTATAGAATAATGTCTTTTTTATACAAATATTACTTATTTTAATAAAATGGGAAAATTGTCAAAAAAGAACTGACCAAATTTCATTTTGTTGAGAACGACTTGGAAGAGATTCAATACTGAGCTCTTTTGCTGGCATTAATTCATTGAACCAAATGATTATATTACTCCTAACAAAATATCACTCTCCCCTAAAATTCTCTCCTCCTATGAGAGCTTTCCCCAACTTCTTGGTAAGTGTTCACCTTGATGGCATCTCTCCAACAACTGTCGAGGAAATTGAGTCTGTGTTGTGAGTGTTGTTTTGGCGTGCAAATCGTGTCATTATTACCACTACTATGTTGTTCGTGTTGTTTGTGCAGATCAAGTATCGAGGTCTTGGTTTTGAAAATTGTGGAAGAGCGGGTGAAGAATGCGGAGCTTTTATTTTGGTTTGAATCTTAGGGCTTTTTCTACTCTTCCTTCTTGATTAATGCATCAATACGACTAGCAGGCCCATTACACTTGTGACTTCTTTAAAGAAGGTACTCTTGACTTTCCCAAAAAAGTACCCCTAAAAAAAATGAGATTTTATTATTTATCATTTATCATGATCAATATATTCAATCAAAAAAGCCCTGCAAATAGAGAGGGATTTTGATTAGAAAAACTAAGTAGATAGAGTGGTTGCAATATTTAAGTTTATTTTCGAAGATCCTTTTTTTTTCTTGGGATTTATGTAACCCCTTATGTTCTAAACATTATTTGATCTTAATTTTTGGGTCTCTTGCTTTGTTGAGTGGTTGCAATATTTAAGTTTCTTTTCGAAGCTCAATTTTTTTCTCTAGGATTTATGTAACCCTTTATGTTCTAAACATTATTTGATTTTAATTTGGAGGTCTATTGCCTTGTTGAGTGGTAGCAATATTTAAGTTTCCTTTCCAAGCTTCTTCTTCTTTTTTAATCTCTTTCCCTTTTGTAGTTCAATGTGTGGAAGATACTCTTGGTTGGCTATTAGTAGACTGTGTTGTCAAAGAAGTCTCGTGCTTGCAATTTACATATGTTTTTGCTCACTGTGTTGGACCTTGATGAGGATATTGTTCTGGGTGTTTGGTTAATGGTTTATTGGTTTGATATTGTTAGATGATATTATCTTGAATGAGAATGCTCTTCAAGTTTATTATTAATGCTGAACTTTGTTTGTATAAGGTTGCTATTTTGAATTATATTGTGAATATGCTTCTGGTGTTCTTGAGAGTTGTGAGTGATGAGTAATGTGAGATGGTCTGTGCTTAGCGTTTTTTCCCACCTTTCCTGCTTCATACATTCATGAGAATATTACATTTGGCAACAGTCTTTCATAGCATTTTCAATCTGAACCTATAAATATTGTTTGCACTTCCATTAATTTCTTCTTTGTTACACTTAATTGCAACCATTGTTACTTGCTTTTAGTATTGTCTATCACGCATATCTGTAATCATTTGACATAGAATGATATGTGTTGAAGTGTGAGTGTCACCGATGTGGGTTATGAAATTTGTCTTCTTTTGCAGAAGTTAAAGAAGTCAAAAATTAAAGGTTTGAAAGTGAGAGATGATTAAACTTTAAATGCGATGATAGATTTTGAACTAAAATGGAAGCATTGTAAATTTGAGAGAATTAGAAGGCAAGGATAAAGTGGTAGAAGAAGGCAATACTATTGGAGAAGAAGGTGATAGTGTCGGAAAAGAAGGAGGCTAGAATGAATAAATTAGAAGTATCGTTAGGATGGGGTTTTTTTTTTTGCAAATGTTTATGTTTATGGTATTGTTTCCATTTATAAAGCATACATTGTTATGTGTATGAGAATGGAGAAGAAAATGACATTAGGCCTTCTTACTTTTATTATGAGAATGTTGCATTTGCACCTAAAGGTGTTTGGCAAATAATATCTAAATTCTTGTATTATCTTGTTATAATGTAGTGTAGTTTATGTTATCAAGGGATGTAACATATATTATTATTTAATGATAAATTTATTTGTTGATATTCATTTCTTGTTCTTTATGTTTTACGTTTGTGTGATTAAGAATTACATACAATAATGATAAGTACTTTTTATGAAAAATGGGTAAATTTTTAGAATATTTATTTATATTTTCAGAATATCCATACATGTTTTCATGAAAAATGAAAAAAATAACCATTTTTGTTTTCAAAATATCCTTTGATATTTTCATAAAAAATGGCACAATTTTTAAAATATGCAAAAGCCTATTCAAATATCCCATGTGTTTTCATGAAATGATAATGTTATTAAATAGAAATGTTCACATAAACAAACTTAATATATTGATAGTTGATGATAAAATAGCAGTGTTTCAGTTGATTTGCTTCTACATATTCAAATAATAATATGTGGTGTTCATCTAAGTTGAAAATTTTCAAAGTATAAAAAAGATATTATTTAAAAAATAAAAGTTTCTTACATATAATTGAAGTTTAAATGCATATAGTAAAAAAAATTACTATATATAATTGAAGTCCCCTATTTTTGGTATTCCAAAATATTTATAAGTTAAGAATTTTTAGAATATCGAAAGTTTTTATACAAATAAATGAAATTTTTTTTACATATAATTGAAATTTAAATGCATGTGATAGAAAAATCACTGCATTTGATTGAAAACCCCTATTTTTAATATTGTAAAATGCTTCTAAATTAAGAATTTTTAAAATATCAAAAGATATTATTCGAATAAATGAAAGTTTTCTTATGTATAATTGAAATTCAAATGCATATGGTAGAAGAATTCCTACATATAATTGAATGCCCTTGCTTTTGGTATTTTGAAATGTTTCTAAGTTAAAAATTTTTAAAATATCAAAAGATGTTATTCAAATAAATAAAAGTTATTTTTTTTCCATATAATTGAAGTTTAAATACATATAGTGGAAGAATCTGCATATAATTGAAGACTTCTGCTTCTAGTATTCTAAAATATTTCTAAGTTAAAAATTAAAAAATTTTAGAATATAAAAAAATATTATTCAAATAAATATTTTTTTTTACATATAATTGAAGTTCTAATACATATGGTGGAAGAATTTGCATATGATTGAAGACTTCTGCTTCTAGTATTTCAAAATACTTTTAAGTTAAAAATTTTTGGAATATCAAAAAATGTTATTCGAATAAATAAAAGTTTTTTTTACATGAAATCAAATTTCAAATGTATATAATAGAAGAATTGTTGCATATGATTGAAGACTCCTGTTATTTCAAACTGCCACCGAAAAATCTTGTTTGACATATTAACATTAAAAGCCCTTGTATTAAGTGTTGACATAAAATTATTGATAGTGAAAAGCCCCATGTGAAATAGTGACAGTAAAGAACCTTATTTAACTTTTGTTTATTTTTTAATCAGCAAGAATATTTTTATTTTTTAACCCTTAGCAATTGTGGACAGTTGAGGACTTTTTTTAAAATATATTTCAAGTTTTTATGAACGAATAAATTTGCCGTGGAGTTTTCTTGAAAATTTTTCTTAATAAAATTATATTATTATATTATTTTTAATTATAACTAGATCAATCCCAATTCAACCGGTTCAGGAGTGTCGGTTACCTCGTTACGCACACATTTTGCATAGGCTTTCCAAGTTTCCTTGTTTTCAGCCCTCTAGAGGGGCCGGCAGACTTTGCTTGCAATTGAATTCACGCGACGTGTCATCGACGTGGCACCGCGTTTTCCCAACTTTTCTTTGTTCTCCACGTCCCTCTTGCATTCAAGATAGCGGTAATTCTTGGGAAACACGATACATTTTTTTATTTTACATCACACGATCCTCAAACAACAATGAAATCCACTGACTAATATTATCCCAACTTCCGACCTCCGACCTTATCCCCACAAAATCAAGTCGGTCAAACTTTCTTCCACTTATAAAAACACTTATTTTAAATGCTCTTCTTGTTAATTGACGCAGCGTGTTAGAGACTTAGAGCCCTTCTTCTTCAACACGACCTATTTTCTTCCGCTCTCCATTTCTCATTTCTCTGATCTTCTCCAGTCCTGTTGACCCTTTAGACTCTCATTTCCATGACGATCTCGGCGGTACCGACCGTCAAGGACCGATGCCTCATGGTGAGAGGAAAGGTGGTTTTGACCCGAGTCCCTGAAAACGTCGTCGTTTCTCCGGTTGGTGGCACTGGGTCAGCTTTCCTTGGCGCAACTTCTAAGATTTCGAGTTGTCGTCATGTCTTCACTCTCGGAATCCTCGAGTACGTGCGTCCGACTCACTAATTTATTTTGATTACTTATCACTATAACAAGCCCGGAATGAATACGCAGAATTTTCTGAAGTGAATGCGTGAACTGATTGCAGGGAATATAAGTTTTTATCTCTGTTCAGAGTGAAAATATGGTGGATGATACCGCGAGTAGGGAAGTGTGGCAGTGAAATTCCCATGGAAACTCAATTCCTGCTTCTAGAAGCCACCCAGGATTCTGCCTTGCATGATGAGTTTTCCTCTGATTCAGAGGATTCAACACCAGATAACACCTTCTACATTCTCTTCTTGCCTTTTTTGGACGGACAATTTCGTGCAACTCTGCAAGGAACTCCAGCAAATGAGCTCCAGTTCTGCATTGAAAGTGGTTTGTTTCTTGTCCTCTTAGCTTTTAGTTCATGCAAGATTTTTATGTTCCTGATATGCTTACTTGTGTGCCAAACTTTTCAATGCTGCAGGAGATGCTCATGTCCAAACTTCACAATCACTAGGAGCAGTATTTGTGAATTCAGGGGACAACCCATATGAGCTAATAAGGGATTCAGTCAAGTATGTACCTTAAATTTCTTGAATTTCCTAAGTTTCTGGCTTTAGGACTGTCTCATGAGAGAGATCAAAATTTCCACTTTTTAAATGAAGGGTATTGGAGAAATGCAAAGGAACCTTTAGTCATCTTGATAATAAAAAGACCCCTGCACATCTTGACTGGTTTGGGTGGTGCACTTGGGATGCTTTTTACACTGAAGTAAGTCCACAAGGAATTAAAGAGGGTCTTCAAAGGTACATTATCAACCAACTTCAGCAATGCAATAATCTGTAAATTCTGAGGATGTGAAATGACGTTTAAGCTTCCGATTCCACAGTTTCTCTCAAGGAGGCTGTTCACCAAAGTTTCTGATCATTGATGATGGATGGCAAGATATAGCCAACGAGTTCAACAAAGAAGGTCAACCATTTATTGAAGGAACCCAGTAAGTATCCATCATTCTTCTTCTTAGTATTCATTTCCCCTTTTATTTCTTACTCTCCTTGCTCACCTCTTTTAAACTATAGGTTTGCAGCCAGACTGACAGACATAAAAGAAAATAGCAAGTTCAGGAGTACAACCTCGGACAGTTCATACACCAATCTCCATGATTTTGTTGGTTCCATCAAAGACAACTTCGGACTAAAGTAAGCTGTCTTATTTCTAAGAGGATCATTCACTCTTCCTCCTTGTCACATTTGCAGATAAAACTCAACAGACTTAGTAGTAACTGAAAGAGATTTTTAGCTAGACTTGACCTAGAAAAGATAGAAAGAACAAGCCTATCACAAAAAGATGTGTACTTTAGGAAAACTTTTACACGTGACTAATTGTTTACATGTTTTTATGCATCATTATGATTAATTGGCTTGTTCTACCTATATCATAGTTAAAATTACTGATAATGACAATAATGCTGCAGGTACGTATACGTGTGGCATGCTTTAGCTGGTTATTGGGGAGGAGTGATGCCATCATCAAACGCAATGAAGAAGTATAACCCAAAGCTTGCATATCCAATTCAGTCACCTGGTAACACAGGGAATCTTAGAGATATAGCCATGGATAGCTTAGAAAAGTATGGAGTGGGAATTACTGACCCAGACAAGATCTACAACTTCTACAACGACTATCATAGTTATCTTGCAAGTTGTGGTGTGGATGGAGTCAAAGTTGATGTCCAGAATCTGATAGAGACTTTGGGCTCTGGATATGGAGGACGTGTTTCATTGACCAGGAGGTATCAAGAAGCACTAGAGGAATCCGTTGCAAAGAATTTCAAGGATAATAACCTCATTTGCTGCATGTCACACAATTCAGACTCTATTTACAGGTTTGTCTTTTTTCTTATTCTCTGGAAATAAGCCTCAGAACTTTTCAGGATGTTAGTTTTGACAAGTAATTATTGTTACATTGTGAATCATTAGTGCAAGGAAGAGTGCATCGGCAAGAGCATCAGAGGATTTCATGCCGAGAGAACCTACACTCCAAACCTTACACATTGCCTCTGTAGCTTTTAACAGTCTTCTTCTTGGGGAGATTGTGGTGCCAGATTGGGACATGTTCCATGTAAGATGTCTCAAGCAATGCATTTTTCAAAATCTTTAAATCCTTGTAATTCTGCTAAGAATGACTTCAAAATCCAATGATTTTTATTATAGAGCAAGCATGAGACTGCTGAATTCCACGGTGCGGCAAGAGCAATAGGTGGTTGCTCAGTATATATAAGGTGAGACAAAAAAAGACAAATCATATCAATAGTTTAATTTTTTTTTTTCCCTTAAGTGAAAGTTCATTATGTCCTAAACATATTTCACGCAAAGGGAATTAAACATGTTACCATGTTTCAACATATCACAGTGATAAGCCTGGAAATCATGATTTTAAAATCCTCAAGAAGCTGGCACTGCCTGATGGATCCATCTTAAGAGCAAGATATGCAGGTCGACCTTCCCGAGATTGCTTGTTTGAAGATCCTGTCAGGGATGGGGGAAGGTAAGAAAAATAAAATGCTTAGCCATCTCATTCTTAGATTCATCAGAATTTTCTGATTTGTTCTTCACTGAAATAACCATTACTTTGAAAATAATTTTTTCAGTTTGTTGAAGATTTGGAATCTGAATAAGCTAACAGGAGTGATAGGAGTGTTTAATTGCCAGGGATCGGGAAGTTGGCAATTGAAACCAGTGAAAGCAACGCCTTCTCACATAAACATTGCAGGCAAAGTAAGGCCATTGGATGTTGAATTTCTTGAGGGTGTTGCAGGTGAAAACTGGAATGGAGATTGTGCAGTATATGCCTTCAATGCAGGTACTGATTAGTTACAACTTCATTACATTTTTGGGCCCGTCTTTTATGTGGACCGGTAGGCCCAAATCCAAATCAGTGTCCAATTTCTCTAGCATGATAGCAACATACTTAATACATATTGCATTGCAGGCTTGCTCTCCAAATTGCCATTTAGAGGGAAAATTGAAGTTTCTTTGGAGGCCCTCAAATGTGAAATATATACAGTATCTCCGATCAGGGTTAGTATTCTAACAGAACAAGTAACAACCTAGTACTGCTCATGAAGATTCATTTGTACAATGTCTGACATGAATCATGTTACCTTATTGTAAACAGGTTTTTGGTAATGATGTCCAATTTGCGCCAATAGGATTACTTGATATGTATAACTCAGGAGGAGCAGTAGAAGCTTTGAACTCTGCCATTGATGTTTCAGAGCTTATCATCAAAATCAAAGCAAGAGGGTCTGGTCGTTTTGGGGCATACTCAAGCACGAGTCCCAAACGTTGTACGCTGGATATGAAGGAGAAGGAGTTCTCGTACAGTGCTGAGGATAAGCTAGTGACAATTGAACTTAAAGGCGCAGGGAATTTGAGAGATATTGAGTTTATATATTGATATCACTATGTTTAAGTTAAACTTTCAAAGCTAGCTTGTTTGATTATTCATCATTTTAAATTTGACAATACGATTTTTTTTTATTGGTAGGGGTTAAGCTTCCCAATTTCAGTTGAAGATAATTATAATTAACTGTTTTTGGATGATTAATATGAGGGTTTGAATAGTTTAGTTGAAAGTTCAAACCTCAGTTTACGAATTTACTGTAACAATTTCTAGAACAATTTCAAACGTTAGTCTATATATTTTTTATTCGGTGAAACAATTGATTTAACGGTTTATTAATTCAATCGAGTAAGTTACCCAAATTTTCATACTATGATTTATATTGAAATGGGAGAATTTAAGAACGAAATTTGCTTGATCCCACAATTCTTGACGAGATCAGTTTTAGTAATATATATATATATATATATATTTATATATTTCCTAAATGGGCACTAAAAATAATTAATTTAGAAAAATAAAAAGTTATTCTAAACTTTTTTTAAAAAAATTCATTATATATAATAAAATTTCCAATTTTTTCTTTTATATTTTGGTATATTTTTATTTTAAAACACCAGCATTATTTGGGAGCCACATGGCCGCAATAAAAGAATTCAGGGAGTCAGATGGCAAGACATACTGTTAACTGCTGTGATTATTTTGAAGATGATAGTGGCCGGTAAGACGTGTTTCTCCTAGATTTAGGGTTAAGTTTTAGATTTATTTATAGAATCATTTTATAAATATTAAATTTGGATTAAAGATAATTGTAATCAACCATGTTAATGGTAATTGACTATACTTGGATAATTAACGTGATGGATCTCAAATTTAGTTGGGATTCCAAGTTTGAAAAGGATCAAATTAGCTTGGTCATATGGCAAGTATGATAGCAGTTTGGGTCCTTAAGTATCATTTTAAAGTTCAATTTATGGTGTGTGTGGAAAACATCTTTTGGGAAAAGATAACCTTCAAATGGAGATCAGATTTTTTGAGAAATTAGTTTCATAATTGCCAGTTTTTAAGAATATCTTATGAAACCCCAAAAAAAAAAAAGTTTGGCTGAGACAAAAATATGACAGGATAATTAAATTGAGGAGTCTATAAGTAAGAGGGTGAAGCATTGGCGTTATTTGGATAATTACCTTTCAAATCACAAGGGCAATCAAGCAAGTTTATTTCTAATAATTCTTTCACTGTTCAATCAATTCGCTGTTTTTTTCTTTTTTTTCTTTTTGAGTTGAGTATTGATTATTTGAAGTCCTGTTTGGATGAAGATGGAGGACAAAGGCGAGGAACTACGGAAGAGGAAAATGGAACTGGACAGTTTTGCCCTTAAAGTTCAAAAGATTTGAGGGAGGCTGGTGAGTCACAAAAAGCTATAAAGGCTTGAGATCATAAAGGAGAACAAGTTCAATCAGAGAACGCAAGAGTTGAGCAAAAGCATGCAAGCCCTCAACATAAACAACAAGCAACGTCAACATATGGATTGTTGATGAAATCCTCTTCACTTTCTATGTATTTTAAAAGTTTCGATACTATATCATGTCTCAAAATTATTATTTGTTCTTAACTTTGTTGCTTTTTATGATTGTTTTTTGGGGCCTGCTGAAAAATAAGCCCCTATATAGCGTTATCCATTAGATGTGCAGTCTTTCATTGTTATCACAACTCATCCACTCAATAAATTGGTCAGGATATTAATTCACTAAATCGTTGATAGATTGGCTAATTTCAATTTAAATAATAAAAGTTAAAGATTATGTATGAAAAATTATTTTAAACAATCTTTAGCTATATCTATATCATACATGTCAAATTTTTGTCAGTTGTTTGGTGCATTGGTATTTAAAAATTTGAGATGGCCTCTTTTTAGTTAACTATGTATGTTAATATAAGACATGCTCATTCAACTCTAAATAGTGTAGAAGCAAATTTGTTTTCTTAGTAGTTAGTTCCAATTCCATTTTCATGAATTTCTAATGAGGCTTCTCACTTGAGTTTGTAGGCACGAATTTGTCAGATGCTATTTTCCAAGTTAAGATTATAGATAATGTATCACAAGTCATTACCTTATAGGCATGCACATTAAGGCAAAATAGAACAATCTGTTCATACCTCTAGATGCTAATGGGTTTGCTGAATTACAATACATATACATATATCAGTGATTGATTAGCAATTGCTGTAAATGAAATTGTTTTTTTATCCTTATATGTAAAGTAAACATATCATAATGTATAAGATTGTTGAGTTGTATTTATTTTTGCCTTCTTGAGTTTCAATTTGTTTATTAAATGATAGGTCATAGAAAGAAAAATTTTATGCCCATAGCATGGATGACACTTTGAAGATAGATATGCTCAAAATTTTAGTGAATAGATCATCAAATAATAACTTGACATGTATTCCTATCAGTTCTATTTATAAATCATTTCTATCAATCTTATTAATATCAATACAATAAAAACATAAAAAATAAAAGTAAGTAAAAATTCAAATATAATCCTAAAGTAAAAAGTAAACAAATAATATAATATTATTTTTTTATCTTGATTCCTCTTACTTTTTAAGGGTAGTTTGAAAATTTTAACTTGAAATAAAATAATCCCATCAGCTAGGACTTATAAAATATACCAGATTATACTTTTAAAAGGTGACTAATATACAGGACTGAATGAATATGCAATTAAAAATGCTTCAGTTTTAAACTTTTTAACTAAAAATATTTTTCAACAAATAATAATATTATCTTTAAAATTATCAAAAACCATTTGCCTTATCTATTCATTAATCTTCTATGTTCTATCCCCCTATCTCATCAATTGACATACCTTCTCAACTTCTTCACAATTTTAATTTTCAATTTTAGAAATCTTTAAAAAAATATCTTAACTTCCTTACCCCAAATTTGGGGTATTTATAATTAATTTTGATATATTTTATGACAACTGATTCAGATTTTAAACTCTTGCTACAAGGAAATTGTATTAAGATATTTTTAAATTATTATTATAGTATTTACATTTTAGAGATTAAGAAAATAATAACCTCTCAATCCTAGAATTTACAATCTTTATTTAAATTATTATTTAAATTGATTTGAATTTATATAAGTAATATTTAAAATGCTTCTTTTTTAAATACTATGGTAACGTATTCCTCCTTTTATTTATATATTACTGATTTGAAATTTTATGTGAGATTTTATCTTTTTTTGGTTTGAAATTTTATGTGAGATTTTATCTTTTTTTGGATATTTTTATTTTTTATTTTACATTACGTTATTATTTTTTGTCATACATACATACATACATACATACATACATACATATATATAAAAAGTAGAACCACGGCATTTCTGTTTTGACACATGCAATTTTAGGAATGCTACACACATCATTGTTAATTTTTAAAAGAAATTTAAACAACATTAACAACATTATCATTCATTCTTAAAAATCACTTTTTCTTATCCTTAAATTTTCTCTCCTCCAATATATTTCATTATCATAACTTCCCCACTTCTTATTTATAATTTTATTTTTTAATTTCAAAAATCTTTAAACATGTAAAAATATCATAACATCCTCACTCTCCAATTGATTTATGGAATTAATTTTAATATTTAGTTATAATTTAATTTTACAAAGTAGATAGATTATTTATAATTAAAGTTTTGATATATTGTATTATAATTAAATTTAAATTCATGAGATGGAAAAGTTTTCGAGAAAATTTTTTAAATCATTACTATATTATTTACCTTCAATTTATAAGTGATTTTCATTTAATAATAATATAATGCAAGCATATAATTTACTCAAATTTTTTTATTTATTTAAATTTTTGGTTATCCATGGGACACATACAAGTTATAATAAAACTAATTATTATTCATTACAAATAACTGAAACGTGAAAATGTACTTTTGATTCTCTAAATTTGAATAAGGTTTTAATTTATCAATTATCATTTATTGCAAGTATCTTTTTGAAAAGTATGCTTTCCACTAAGAATTTAATCATTGCTATGTATTTAAGGTTTAAACTCAAAACTTTTAATTAAGAGAAATTAACTCTGTAATCAGTTGATCTAAATATTCAATTGGTTTTATATATATATATATATATATATATATATTTTAGAGGCCTTGAATTTGAGAGAGATGGGACTTTTTATTCTTCATTATCGATACTTTCTTTTCTGTTTTGTCCCCTCATTTGTAAACAATAATTTAGAATTTTAAATTCGATGATACTACTTTTTCTTTTTCTTTTTCTTTTTGTGCGTGTGTGTGAGTATAATGATCAGATCCCACTAACGGCAGGGATTTTCTCATCCACATATAAAAGTTAAATTTCTGCATTTATATGTTAAACTTGATTATTTACAAGTAGCTAGGATCAACAAGTGATTAATTTATTTTATTTGAGACTCTCAAAATGTTAACATTGACTACTAGGTTTTATCCACTAGAAAATGACTAGTTTTATGAAATAAAATTACATTAGATGGTTTAAATCCTAACTTCTCAGTTTATTTTTTTTGATAACAACTTCTCAATTTATTTTAATATAGTATTCACTCTGATTTTTATTATAAGTCACTCATAACTAATTTAAAAAATGAGGAAAAGTTAGTTTTAGCGTTAAAATTATTTAAGATTACTTTGACTTTCATTTCCATTCCTAATAAATGTTATAAATTTTAAAAACAAACAATCTATCTCCTAAATAAAAATTGAGAAGAAGGGCATATTTAAAATAAAGTAATTAATATTATACAAATTCTAATAAAATGATTTATATCAATGATCACAAAATTCTTTTAGAATGCAACTCATATATAGAACCCGAAGGAATATATTAATTTTAATAATACTCTCTTCCATGAAAAAGATTAATTCAAATTAATTAAACACAAAAATGTTTATAACCATCTAGAATCACCATTTGACTGGGATAATTTATTCTGCAGAGAGGTTATTCACCGAAAAAAAAAGGGGGGTGCAAAAATATTGGAGAAGCCGTTAATTAAATTAACATTGAAAAAGACAAAAATATTTTAAAAAATGAGTTATAAATATTTTATTAAATTTTATTAAAAATCGCCTTATATTGTAAATTATCTTAGTTTGTAAAATATAATAAAACCGTAAA